CTGCAGCAGGAGTCTACAGTGTAAGAACTAATGTCAAACTGAGTGGGTGAATGTAATGTAACCAGCTATAATCCATAGCATTACAGCTGTAGTGCTAATAACCTGATATTCAGAATGAAGATATTTAATATTTAAAAAAACAAAAACATAAATTATATATCCCAGAACTAGCTTCAATCCAACAATTGGAAGGGTTAACAAGAACTGCGTAAAGCTGCAGTCACATGATTTCAAGTGATTTCTTCTTCGCTCACTGAGAGGTTTTGAGCTGAGTTTGAAAGCAGTTCAAAAAAAATGAACTAGTTTTCCTGCCATTCGAGACAGTTTGGCTTCTGTAGTTATCATGCCTGCTAGCTTGCAGCGCTACATACAGCAGAATGGTTACGCGTCCAAAAGGTCAGTGGTAAACATGGTCAAATTTGAGATGATTTGAATTCTGAGCACGATGCTAAGGGGAGAGCTTCCGCAGAGTCGGACCGTTTTACCACGTATCATGTGAATGCAGCTTATGTGATAATTGATAAACAAAAAAAGGTTCTTTATACACTTGGATTTCCCATCTCCTGCATGTTTTAAGTCTTTGTGCAGCTTAAACTGACACAATGACAAAAGGGTTCGGGTACACTTCTAAACAGTCTGTCGTCTTTTAAAACTCTGATTAGATTCCTGCTTCCATTGTACAGTAAATGTGTGACGCGTCGACCTTGCAGACAGATATGCTGATGTGCGACAGGTGATTGACAATAGACCCCTGAGCATGCTGGGAAACAAGATAAGCTGCAGCTCGGCCCGTTTTTGTGGTTCTCAAACACCAAAGAGAGAGGGAGGCAGAGAGAAATTACAGAGAGATTACACGGCAGGAACAGAGCTGACAGACGGACGGACTCACGGAGGAGAGGGGGGGGGGGGGGCAACCAGGGAGTCATTTGCTGGAAATAAAGAGTGACAGCACAGACAGAGCTGTAGAAAAAAAGAGAGGAATTATGGGAGTCTTTCTCCTTTTACCCTCTCTCCTCTCATCCGTTATCAGCCATCAGGGTACTCCATCACTCCGGATCCCATCTTCCCTGAAGACACTTTCACTCTCCTCGCTCTGTCTCTGTCACTCACTCTTCCGCCACTGTCTGAATCCAGCTGCAGGCTTCAGAAGTACATTACAGAAAATAAACCGAAACCTTGACTTTAATTAAATATATTACGTCAACAGATTTCACAAAACTGTATTAGGTTAGTGGAAAGCAATAATATTAATTTTAAATAAAATGAATAGGTTCAACTTAATATGATTGCTTTCAACTAACCTAATAAAGTTATTTGAAATGTGTTAAAATAATACATCTAATTGAAGTCAACGTTTCAGTTTAATCAGTGAATGCTTTTTATTGCGTTGGACTTATGGGCCTAGTTGACTCCTATTTGTGGAGATGTTAAATGACTCCCCTCCTCTCCCTTTACAACCTTCCATCATTTAGTCTGTGAGGTAACATTATGATTATCATGAGAAACACAACAACATTACTCTGCACACACACACACACACACACACACACACACACACACACACACACACACACACACACACACACACACACACACACACACACACACACACACACACACACACACACACACACACACACACACACACACACACACACACACACACACACACACACACACACACACAGACTTCTACAAGGTGACCTTCAGGCTCCAGAGCAGACGTATATGTGGACAGTGCTGAGTCAAACTAGTGACTGTCAATCAAAGAGTTGCTGGGGGCGACAAACAGACATGGACGTGTCAATCATGTGTCTCCAGGCAACCAGGAGTTGTAGTCCATTCCCTAATTAAAACAGCAGCCTGCTCAAGGAAACATACTGTAGAGAGGAAGTTGTGTCTGCAGCAGCGTTATTGACTCTTTCTGCACATTTCTAGCCCTAAGTATCACTTTGGACACAGAGTGACCATAAACATGCATCATGTTTGTCACTCAGCACACTGACATCGTCCCTCCTGGTCATTTTAGTGGTATGATCTGTTAGTATCACCAAAAAGTACAATTTCCGTCTAAACTAAAGCTAAGTTTACAGGACTATAATTCAGTATTTCTTTAGGTAAATAATTGTCTGACTATTTGGTGATGTAGGACAGCCACCTGGTTCATACCTCAGCAAATCTGAAGAGGAAAAGAGTGGTCATTCTCAAGTTATGGGCTTTTTTGTCACCTTTCCCATATTCGGCCTGGTCTAATTTGGCTCTTTTTCAGGGATTGGGGTAGTTCTAAAGAACAACCCAAAAAACATTTTTTCCCCCAAAATAAAATTTGACAAGAATCAATTTCATTAATGGGAGACCCTAAAGATAAGAAAAATCATTGTTGTCATTTGTTCTACCTCAGGTAGGGGTATCTCGAAAACTAAAGCCTTTGTTAAGGCGTGTGGCGCAGTGGATAGAGCGTTGGTGTTCAGATCAGGGGAGCACAGGTTCAAACCCCACTGCAGTCAGCATGTCGTTGTGTCCCTGAGACACTTCACCCCAAATTGCTCCTGTGGGGATTGTCCACAGTATTGAGTATGTAAGTCGCTTTGGATAAAAGCATCTAACAAGTAACATGTAATGTTGAGGACTTGCTGCTAGACTATAAAGGACATATTTTTCAACTTGAAACAGCACTCTATTTTGTATTTAAACCTACTGTCCATATTGGCTATGAGAAGTTCTATTCTTAATGTGATTCAGACATCAGAGCATAAGGAAAAGATCCACTTAAAAAATACATTCTGAGAGGAGGATACACACTGCAAAAAGTGTGTAGTTTATTAGTACAGCAGAACATATTATACAGTAGTATGCATGCAGCCGGTTGCAGGCGCTCCTGCTACAAAAGATTTGTACTATGTTCAAGCTTTTACCTGTTATTTTTCTATCAGTAACTACTAACAGTATCTTATTAAGCTGTGCCCTCTCTAAACTTTATATATAGAGAGATTTGGTTTGTTATTTCTCCATTGAGTTGTTAGCAGTAACCCCATGGCTGCCCTGTTTAGACCAGGAACAGCTGATCCGCTAAAGCAGGCTAGCATGGTAGTCAGAACAACGGCTATCCCCACTGAAATCTGGAGAAGGACTCGGAGGATGCAAAGTAAACAGAAGAGACATAGGAGGAGAGCTCGGTCTAGATTTATGGAGAATATTTGATATTTGTCTCCGCCTCTCATCATGGCATGGGCAATGTCAGATCACTGGCTAATGAATGGAAGAGCTGAGGGCTTAAGCTAGGAGGCAGACAGATGATCAAGAGTGTAGTTTAATGTGCTTCAGTGAAACAGGGCTGCACCAGGATATATCTGAGAACAACGTTTCCTTTGATGACTTCCAGACTTTTTGGGCTGACAAGGATGCACCGAGGGCTTTACCATGAGCCTCTGTCTTCACCATGACTTCACCATGAGCCTGAACGTTATTCTTAACATAAGCTCCCAACTGTTACTGTGTTAGTGTGAAGATAAAACATCACAGAAAAGGTACATCAGTTGATTGCTGGTGTCAAACCACAGATAATGGTCAATTATGTCCTTAGAGTCCGCTACAGTGTAGATGTACTATGTACCTTACAAGTGATGAAAACTTGGACATAATATTACCTTAAAAATATTGTAAGCACACTAGCCAGTGATCCAATAATCTACCAGGCACACAGGGATTTTGGCATCTCATTGTTCATTAGTTGATTGGACAAATTCCCAAATATGTATAGCATTCCTAAAGGATTCCATACAACTGGCAGGTGTTTTGCCCAGAGAATATGAAATATACCAAGGAGTAATAGATCAGTGGTCCCGGAGTGGTGGCAGAGGAGAGAGGGCAGTGTGCAGAGACAGTGAGGGATGAGCGGACACACACAGCTCTGCAGACGATCAATAAAGCAAAATAAAAGAGCCTGACATGCCTGGTGACACAGCTGTGTGACGTGGAGAGAACACGCTGAGCATCGATCTTCAAGGTTAACGCTGGTAAACTCTGTCTGTATGACCAAACTGTGCATGAGCCATTCAAATGTTATATTCTAAACCCCTGAACTCAGACATATTGTTAGTTCATCAAACCTTTTCTTGATTTCTTGATGAATGATTTGCTTATTATAGTGAACTATGCAGCAGTTTGAAGCAGATGTCTTGAAAGTCCTTACACCAATGTATGATTTCAATCTGTTGTTGCATCAAAATGATGTCAACAGCTAATCTCTTGTTAACGCGCCCCAGAAATGGGATATGTGATGCTTCCTCTGTCTACACTGTAGTCACCATGCTATGCACTGTTGGCTTAAAGCACAATTAAACCTGTTATTTAAAAGTAAACACAGCCATAACGGCCTCAGAAGGGACCGGGAACATCGATAAATGTATAAAGAGAACTGGATACAGGGTTGGGGCCCAGTTGAAAGTTGATCAGTGGCGCATGAAGCCAAATTGACCTGACTTTTAAGAACACAAATCTTCCAGGGATCCTCCGCATCCAATTGCACTGCATTTTCCTTACGCCCCACCTCCAATCCATGAGGGCAGCAAAATGACGTCACAGACTGACACTGAAGTTGTACCGTTTGGCCATTACAAACATTTGTTTCGACGCACGGCGCACTTCCTGGAGCAGCTTCCACTGTGTATTGTATTTTCATGAAGGAATATGTAAAGTTGTGTAACCTCATTCCCTAAATGTTTGTGATTTTCTCCATTTCCTGCCATTATATTTATCATGGTTTAGAATGACTAGCTTGACAACATGCATCAGTCTTTGCACCCTCCAACCTTGTCGTGAATATTAATCAGCTGAGCAGCAGGGTCAGGAGACTTTTCACACTATTGTGAATAAATACGTAAAAAGTAAAAACTAAGGGGTTTATCACTTGATTACTTATAAGAATTTCCTGTGCACCGGTTGTAGCTTTTGTCATGTAAAGAAAAGGAACCTCAGAAAAAGACATTGGCATTTCTTACCATTGTAGGAGAGGCGGGGCTTGCTTAGACACATGATGAAGTGAACTTCCATTTCATTGGACGCCACAGACTTGGAGCAGACAGGACACTTGAATCCTAAGAAGAACAGAAGAGCAGAGATATTAATGATATATCTCTAAAATAAGTAGTTGTCAAATTGAATAGCACATGTAACTGACAGCCTTTAAGAAAATGACCAGTGGTGAAATGTATTGAAGTTATTGTGACCAGGTGCCAACAAATGTGGGACAAAGAGTGTGTTTGTGCGGGACATGTGACTGCGATGCTAAGAAGTAGTTTAGATTTCAATATAATGTCCATCTCACCCTAAAGAAATGAAATGTCTATTGAAACTATAACCCCCCTATACATATTAATTAAAACACCTTACTATAGATTGATTTGTTTGCACAAACCATGCAAGTAAAGAACTTAAGAATATCATTGTTTGAATGGATTTTTTCCCTGCATACAATCGTCCACATAATCATTTTTTACAATCTCCGAGTCTGGAACAATTACCGGAGGTTAATACCAGACTGCTGACTTGTGTGATCGTGAGTGCTGCACAGTGTGGTATACATTGATTCAACCACAATTCATCCTCTTTTGGTTTTTCTTCATGAGCCTGGCATTTCTTGTGATTTTCACACAAAATAAATCTGGCAAAAAACATCACATACAAATCTGTGGGAACTGCACTCCACCGGCCACACCCAAAGGTAAATACATCTTTTGTAAGAATAGAATGCTACTTTATTATTCTACTCCACAACATTTTAGAAGCCAATATTGTACTTAGTTACTAGCTACTTTACATATACTGATTTTTTAGCTAAGCTTAAGATATCCATCAGTAGTTTATAAAGTAATTAAAAGTAGCTTCACTTATACCAGCTGTGATGAATACATTAATTAATCAAAAATAATAATCCAGTAATTTAATATACATGATTCTGAATTGAGCTATTGCACACAATGAGTACTTTTACTTTTAATAATAATAATAATAATAACTTGGATTTATATAGCGCCTTTCATGAGACCCAAGGTCGCTTTACAAAGAAGAACAGGAGTAGAAACAAACATAACAAAAACAAAAGGCAGTCAGACAAACAGTTAGACAGACAAAACAACAAATAGATTAGGGGCCGAAAGCCTTGGCAAACAGATGGGACTTGAGGGCCCTTTTGAAGGCGTCAAGCGTGGGGATGTTGCGGATCTCCGCAGGGAGAGCGTTCCAGAGGGTGGGGGCTGCCACACTGAAGGCTCTGTCCCCGAAGGTTCGCAGGTTGGTGCGGGGGGTGGTAAGCAGGCCAGAGTCTGAAGACCACAGGTTCCGGGGTGGGGCATGTGGGAAGAACAGCGAGCCAGCTAGCAGCTAGCACCATTAGCCTGGTAGAAACCGGACCTCGAACCTCAGCAGCGGTGATGGAAAACAGCCCAGTTGAGATGGCAGGACTGAGGGAGGATTCGTGGATAGTCCTGGGAGCGTGGCAGAGAGGAGCCCAGTCGGGGTATTCCGGAGCGGGGATTCCATGGATAGCAGAGCACGGCGGTGAGCTCGTTTTGCTAATGGCAGGACGGCAGAGGCTAGGAGCTAAACAGCAGCCAAACATAATCGGCTGAGCAACGGAGATGGCAGAAACACAAAACCAGAGCAGAACAATCTTTTCGCTGTGTATGTGAAAAAAATTGACGGCAGGGAGTGATAGACACGAGGAATAAGCGTCGGCTTTTGGTACTTTAAGTATATTTTGATGCCAACACTCAGATTTTAAATGCAGGATATTTACCTGTAACTGAGTATTGTAGTATTTCCACTTTTACTTAATTAACATATCTTCCACCGCTGAAAATGACAAAGCATCATTTCATTAAGGGTAAATGTATTATTATAAAAAAAGGAAAATAATGTGTTTCTGATATAAATGATGTTAAACATTTAGCTTCTAAAGAGCTGATCTAAAGTCTCGGAGCCTAGGAGCCCTGGTGATAAATGACCGATCTGCAGACCACTTAAGTGTTGCTGTTTTTCTACAGGGTCTCTGGATCCCATCTGACAGAGCATGATAAACTAGGTGAGGATATTACGATATAGAGCCCAGCCAGGCTGGACCTAACAGGCTTTGAGAAGTCATGTTCTGGTCAAACAATGAAATTAAAAACCGTTCAATGTTCGGGATGTTTTACATTTCTTCTTTTGGCTTTAAACACAGCTACAACCTGCTGCAGACTGATACAAAAAAAATCCACTGTGAACTTAAAGTCAATGTGGATGGAGTTATTACATTATTTCTACCTGTCTTTTGAATCAAATATTGTATACCAACAGAGCCATTAACCTGTTAAGCCCTGAGCCTGTTTTTCAGGTTTCAGGCTCGAAAATGACATGCCCTGAACAAATGACTATATCTTCACTTTTAAAAGGGGTAAATTAATAATCTTTTTTCACAAAGCAATGATACACCTGTGAGTTGGATGTAGAAAAGTCAGAATCAATATATATGTTTTCATTTTAAAGTAAATTCAGATTGAACATAGTAAAACAATTTAAATTATAGTTTCCGTCCAAAACAAAACCATTACTTATAGTGAAAACCACCCTTGAATGATGGGATAGTAGACAAAAAGCTTTAGGAATCCAAACTAGGACATATAATAAGTACCCTGTATCAAGATTGATGCAAAACAAGTGAAATTTGACCTTTTCAGAGAGGTTTAGAAAAAGTAGGTCCAGGCGGACTCACCTCTGGGGTCATTGGTTGATTTTGGCTCTTTTGAACCATTAGGGCCAATAGAATCGAGGGGAAGTTCCTAAATCCATCTAAACATTACCATTGAGGATTGAGAGTGATGCGCACGCAGTTTGCCCAAAACCGGAAGCTCCATTACACTCTATATGAAAAATAAGTTTAATTCCATAAATGTTATGATGGATTATCAGTTATCATTTCAAAGTGACACAGAGACATTGTATTAACCTTCAGCAGCGTTTATATGCGTTTTAATGCCATTGAACACAACTTTTGATCAGAAAACAGTAAAGGTAAGACGTATTTGCCGTTTTGGCACTGTAAAGTGAAGTTGTGTGTTGTCTTTGCTTGCCTTCGCTGCCGCGAGCTTTGGTCGCACAGTGATGATAGTTATACCAATGGAATCTGTGGAATATCAGCTTTCATATGATATCTAGTTTGTGCAGATTGCATGAAGTATAAAATATTGCTACCGTGAGTTATGTGCTAAGTGCGTTAGCACCCTTTCGCTTAGTGCTGATTCAGAGGCTTGGCTTTAGACTTGTGTTTTGTTTAGGTCAAAATTGTTCATATCGTCAGTTAGCTGAGGTTCTTCCCGTTAAGTGGGTATGACACATTAATAGGTTGTTAAATATTAAGAAGCCCTGAGACACAGTTTCGTGAAAATTGTTGTGTTTTGCCGCCGGCGGGGGCAATCGGGCTTAACAGGTTAAAGCCTCACGTCAGCTTTTTACCATGGTGTTTGCCAGAAGTGTTGTTTATATGTGGAGAATATCCTGCTGAACAAAATGTGTAACTTACATTGTTGCCGAGGATTGTATTTTATGCCATAGTCCAACACCCAATGAAGAAATTCCATTGCCTATTATTGAGGGAGGCCTTGTGATGCTAGCATCCGAGTAGGCAGTGTTTCCGCCAGACCAGGGCTGAGAGGGCGTCCACCCGAGAGAGAGTCACGTGACTTGAATTTTGAATTGAGCCGTCCCTTATAGTAGATAATATCTCTTTACGTTAGTGATGGGAATTACGGCTCTTTTTAGTGAGCCGAATCATTTGGCTCGTCTCACTAAGAAGAAGAGCCGGCTCTTTTTACCACAGTTTACCACGGAGCCTCAGTTTCGTCGCTGCGAGGCTCCGGCGCTCGCAGTTCACGCGCATGCTCCACCGCTCATCGCATCCAAATCGCGCAAGTTCCGTGTTGTCCTGTGGCAGGCACCGTGGGTTCAATACTCCGAAAAGAATCCCAATCCTTTGCCCCTCCAACAGAGGGATGTCCTTGTCCTTTTTCCTTTTCAAGCAATCTTTTTTATTGGACACCCTCGGCTTGAGTTCAGGCCGTTCCGAGCTGAATAAGGCCATCAAATGACGGCAAGACGCCCCCCTGACGGAAACACTGCGAGTAGGCCTTCGGAAATAACTCATTACTGCACCACTCTATAGGTTTAATTCACAAATAAGTAATTATAACAGGAGTAATAGAGGAAATATGGTGACATTATTATATCTTGATGTATTTAGAACATTTCCACACTATCTTGGTTGTTTTTTAATGGTGGATGTGTCTCAGTCGCCCCCTCCTGTGTTGTTTTGATGGGACCCATTAGGCCTAACATTATTAGTTTAACACATAGCAGGTAATTAGATCAGCCACTGGGCCACATGAGATGAGTTTACACATAAATGAAAACAGAGAAAACCGCTCTGTGATGAGGGAGTCTTGTGATCAGTGCTGGATTCTGAGCAGAGGGAGGGATCACTTTGATGCCACAATTACCAAAACATTCTCACTAGCAAAGTTAAGGTACAAACCAGCTTTCAAAAAGATGGTCGAGTGGGTGGGTTTTCACTGATTAGGTAGAAGATTATAGGGGAGGTAGCTATGATTATAGCATCTGGGGACTCCCGTATGTGCTCCAGTCATGTGGAGTTATAGTGAGATTTACATATATAGAAGCAGCAACATCACAAGGGGTTCTCCTTTTCCTTTCCAGTTTTTTCCTGTTTGGAACGATGTATTCCCAGGGAGGTGTTTCTTCTTTCACACTTTGTAGTTTGGTGGTGCTAAGTACTCCTGAACGTCTATCAGTTTATCGTCATCGCTTTGTGTCCTTTATCTATCTTTATCCTCAGAAATGTATTTTCAATAAAAGGCTATAGAAAAATGTGCTTGAACTTAAAGGGGCATTGCAGTGATTTAGCTAGTGGAGCTCGCTCGTGAACTGTTAGCGCCGGTGCCTGAGCGCATAATTGCGCCACATTTGCGCATAAGATGAGGCCCCCTCTGCAAGATGAGGCCCCACGCAGTCTGCGTGATCTGCGTGTAGGGAGGGGCAGGCCTGC